AAAAAAAAAAAGGAAAAGAGGACAGAAAAATGCATAGAAACATATTTTAAAAAATTATATAAATGCTACATGTTTATAAATATATAAAATATTTGATACATATGTGTTGGCCAGTTTTTGAACTGATTTTCCATTTATATTCAGAATTGCAGCTGAGCTGCAGCTCAGTGGTACAGCACTTGCCCAACATGCAGAATGCCCTATAAGTCTTAGCACCACAAAAGGAAAAACATGTATTCAAGATGTAACATGGAAGGTTTCAGCAAGGTATGATAGTACACACCAGAATCCCAGCACTCAGAAGGCTGAGACAGGAGAATTGCTATAAATTTGATGCCGCCTGGGCTACATAATAAGTTAAAGGCCAGCCTGGACTACACAGTGAAACCCTTTCTCAAAACAAATAAAATCTTATTTATGACTAAAACATATATATCTTGATATTAAGGATTACAGTGCTTAGATGCTACATCCCAAACAACATCTTATTAACTGTAGTTAAAAAAGTACTGATCAAACACAAAATTTTCTGTCTTACAGCAGAAGCTAGCTGTTCTTCTGTCATGTCTTCAACAAAGACAGTTTTAGCTGCAGGTTCTTCTGGAAGAGCATCTGCTGACCCCATCATTAACAGAGTCATCCCCTGTTACATATAAAGAAGTTTATGAAAATCCTTAAGAGTTATGTTTATATCCAATAAAAAAGCACATATACCTCATTAACATATATGTAAACATCGTTTGAAACATACGAAAATAAAAGCCAACAACATATTAAGGAACCAAATATATCATCATTTCAAGGGATTATCCCAGGCTGCAAATCTCAAAGTGCAGTGAGCCTCCACTGGTCCCAAAGGTTCTAGTCTGCAAATTCAAAATAATTTTCATAATACCAGTATATTACTTCCCTTTCCCACTACTCCGATATGACACTGATGGCACTAAAGATCTAAAGATAGACTAAGTAAAACTGACAGTTGCTTAGCATCATCAGGGCAGCGACAGAAAAATGAATAAAAATAATTAATTTTATTAAATCTCAACTTTTGAATAGCTTTCTTTTGATATTCTATATGAAAAAAATAAGAATCCATACAAACATGTTGGATACCAATAAGTAATAGCAGCCTTAAAGAAAAACATTTGTGCAAAAGTTGTAGACTAGCTACTTATATCACGAAATACAATTTTTACTTAAAACAATCCACAAACCATAAAATTTCTTTAGGTGTAAATAGTCTACATTTCCTCAAAATGAACAAACAGAGCCTGTCACATCAAAGAAAATAATTGAAAATATTTCTAATTGCCAATGATAAACTATAAGAGCTTCTACATGAACATTAGGATTTTTTATGTCATTGTACACCTGGAAGTTTTACAATGACCTTTGTATTAAGAATGCTAAAGCCAGGCATGGTGGTGCACACCTACAATGCCAGCACTCCCAGCACTTGGGAGACTGAGGCAGGAGGATCACTGTGAATTTGAGACATGCCTGGGCTATAAAGTAAGCTTAAGGTCAGCCTGAACTGCATGGCAAGACCCTGTCTCAAAAAAGTAAGAGAAGGGGCTGGGGAGATAGCTCAGTAAACAAGCGCTTACCTGGCAAGTGCAAGGGCCTGAGTTCAATCCCCGGTTCCACAAAAAAAAAAAGAAAAAAAAAAAAAAAAAGATGTTAGTGTAGTTAGATGCTGGTATGGTTTCAGAGGCTCTACCTTCCTTACTGATCTATAAACTACCCTGTGAGCTAGGCACCATGAGGGGAATCAAAAATTTGTCACTGCAGCCTCACAAGACCTATCTTTAAAAGAACTATAAAAGTCACTATTTATCAATTACATCTCCAAAAAGTTAGAAGTCATAAAGATTAAAAAGAGAAATAAAACTATCATTATTTGCAGATAATATGGCCATATATATAGAAAATGCAATGGAATATACCCAAATACAACTACAACTATTAAGTAATTATAAGGTCACAGGATAAACCAAACTAAAACAAACAAACCAGCAACTTTTTACCATTCTAGCCATTAACACATGAAATCAATTTTTTTTAAATAATCAAATGCTACAGCAAAGTAACATCCAGTTCTAAAAACTATACACAAGGCTGAGCACACGTAACACCTGAAAGAGGATGACAAGTTCAAAGAAGACTGGACATTTGGTGAAACACTTTCAAAATAAAAAGGCAGATGCATGGTGGTTTACACTTGTATTCCCAAGACTATGTGAGGAAGATCACCACGTCCAACCCAGCCTGGGCAACGTAGTGACTTGGCAAGATCCTGCATGAAAAGTTTTTAAAATGCAGGGACAGGGGTTGTAGTCCACTGTAAAGCCCCAGGGTTCAATCCCTGTATTTAAAAAAAGTGGAGGTGGGGGCTGGTGAGTTGGCTCAGTGGTCTAAAGCACCTACTTGGAACAAGCTTAGCAAAGCACAGGGACCGCGGTTCAATCCCCAGCACCACATGCCAGCCAGCCCCGCCCCCTGGTGGGCTGAGCTGGCCACACACACACACACACACACACACACAAATAAAAAAATAAATAAAAAATTAAATTAAAAAAGTGGAGGAATATTTACAGCTCAGGGGCAGAGCACTTACTTAACACAGGCAAGGCCCTAAGTTCAAAGCCTGATGATGGAAAAAGAAGATCTCCACAGTGAAAAACTACAGTTCTTCTAGGATAAAATAAAGACCTAAACAAATGAGGAAGCATACCATTTCAAGGATTATAGTACCCAATATGAAGATTCATTCTCCACAAACTAAACTACAGATTATACATGTAATCTGCAACAAAATCCCAGGAATTGAACTACACAAACCAACAGACTTACTTTAAAACAGTACATAAATGCAAATGAACCAAAATACTATTTAAAAGAGAGAAAAAGTTGGAGAACTTACATTATTTCAAGACATTATAAAACTTTAATAATCAAGATCAATGAAACAAGAGCCCCAAAATAGACCTACAATTGACTTTTCAAGAAAAACTAATACAAAACAATAGGAAAAGCAAAGAACTTTCAGTACCTGGGGCTGGAACACCTAGATGTACATATGGGGAAAAAAGTCACTTGGAACTTATTTTGGTTCAACAGTTTGGTTACTCCATTACAGTGAGAGTCAATACTTACATTTTTTATTTTGATATTCCCCCAATCATCATCCTGTTTCAAAGACAAAAAATAAAAATTAACTACCTTTGTACGAATAGATGAATTTTAAGCTACCTGGAAATAAAAATGTATTTTATATGCAGATTTTGTTGAAAATTACTGCAATAAAAGCTTTTAAACATATGCAGTCCTAAAGCCAAGTATTCAAACAATTGCTTAAAATGCATAAAGTAACACAATGTAAAACAGTCCAAGTACTACAAACACACTTGGCAAGCAGCTGGGTACAGTGGCACCTACCTATAATCCCAGCACAAGGGAGACTGAGGCAAGTTCAAGGCCAGCCTAAACTGCACCCTATCTCAAAAAACACTTAGCAAGTACTAAACCTAAATGCTTGACTGATGACAAATGACAGATCCTAATTTTCTGCAAGTGTGGAAACAGGAAAGCTAATCACTAGCTTACATGATAAGAAGAAACAGTAAATTATACCATATGGCCTAAATCACTATGATTAATTTATTATCCAAATCAAGACTGGGGGGGGCAGAGACAGGGTTACATGCAGTTCAGGGTGGCCCTCAGTTCACTTTGTAGCCCACTACTGGTCTGGAACTTGCTAACAGTCCTCCTGCCTCAGCCTCCCAGTGCTGGGATTACAGGTGTGTGCCACCACATGCAGCTAAAACCAAGACACTCTTAAGAATTCAAGTGCTAATAAAAATTATACCAAGAGATAGCCTAGAACAACCTTAACAATACTTCAATGCCCAAAAATCTTTAAGTCCTAAATTTCACACATCTACGAAGAAATTAAGAACTATTTTCACTTTGATGTGCTAAATAAAAATCAAAATACCAAGCCAGGGGTGGTGGTGCACATCTGTAACCTCAGCACTTGGGAGGCTGAAGCAGGAAAATTCCCATGAATTTGAGGCCAGTTTGCACTACACACTGAACTGAGGGCCAGCTGAAGTGCACAGCAAGACCCTGCCTCAACAGGATCTGATGAGATGCCAAAAAGAACTTCAGCGAATGGAAGAGCTGCATAACCAAGAGGTCCAATTACAAACGCAACTGGAGCTCCAGCAGGAAGAGGAGTATAGGAGCTGTAAAGAAAGGCAGCGGCAACAAAAACAGATGATACTGCAACAGCAGGAAGGATTCAAGGGAACCTTCCCTGATGCGCAAGAACAAGAGATATGGATGGGCCAGACAGCTATGGGAGCTGTTATGGGCATACACAACAGAGGCGCCAGGCCCCCTGCTCCAGTGCCAGCTGGTATCCCAGCTCCTCCCAGGCCTGCCACTATGATGCCCAATGGAACCTTGGGATTGATGCCACCAACAAGTGAACGCTTTGGCCATGATGCTATGATGGAAGGAACTGGGGCAACTGTGGAACCCCTCCTGCTTTCAACCATGCAGTTCCTGGAGCTGAATTTGCTCCAAACAAATGCTGCCAATAATAATAAAGTTGCAGTGTCTAGTTTCCTGAAACCCTTAAAAGAAGGAACCCTTTTGGACTAACCAGACTTCTACCTTAAAAGAGTGTTAGGGATTCCTTCCAATAGTTAGGTCTTCTCTGCCTACACTACTCTAAGGGAGTATGCTGGGAGCAGAGGGCAAGGGAGGGGTGGTATTTAACAAATTCTGTGTGACTTGTTTAATCTATTCTGTGTGACACATTCCTGAAATTTCAAATATAATAAGTTATTGAAGGCTGAGGGGAAACCATGACAGAATGATTGCTTACAGTCCATTGATCTTGAGCATTCCAGTTTTTTTGTTGTTGCTTTTCGTTTTTGTATTTTTAGGGAAGGGTCTATAGGATGTTCAGGGTCTCACTACTAGATCAGACTCATAGTGATTCTCCTGTTTACAGCCTCCCAAGTGCTGGGATTACAGGTGCACACCACCATGCCCATCTCAATCACCACGGGGTGGGGGGGGGGGGCCTGCACGGCAGGTTGGGAACCAAACCCCGGTCCCTGCGCCTGCTAGGCTATCTGGTCACCCACTAAAGACATTTTGTCTTAAGAGATTTTCATTTTGGTATATCTTTAAATGAATCTTGTGTTAACTTGCCTCCATCTTTTCCTTAGGTAAGGACATCCCAGAAATGTCATTTCTGTGTTTATGATGTTGCTGTTCATAGCTTTTCTTGATAGACCTAGTACAATCTTGGGAAGAGAGTTGCTATATGCTGAAGGTCTGACAGTAGCTCTTAGCCTTGCCTATCTTAGTTAGTCATGCTGTGCATTTTTTATTGGTGTACCATGCTAGAATTATCCCTTATACCTTAAATTTGGAGTTTTTCTGAGAAATGGAGCAATAATACAGCATCAACTTATTAAGGTCCATCTTAAACCTAAATGTACGTTAGGCTTAAAAGAAAAGAAAAGACCCTGCCTCAAAAACAAGAGCCAGGGAGATAGCGCAGTAGCATAAGTGCTTGCTTGGGAAGCACAAGGTCTGGAGTTCAATCCCCAGCACTGCAGGGGGAAAAAAAAAAAACAAAAAAAAAAAACCCACAGACAAAACAATCAAAAACCCCAAGCAAACAAACAAAAAACACCACTAAAGTAACTATAAGGAATATTCATTCTTTTTCTTCTTAAAATTGTTTTTTCTCCCATCACCAGTTAGGAAGTAACAATCACTCTTAAAAGGGCGTGACTGCAGAGCGGGAGGGGGGGCCTGAGATTGCAATTGAGACCGGACATGGTGGCATATGCCTGTAATCCCAGCTCTTGGGAGACTGTAAACAGGCAGATCACTCCCAGTCAGATCTAGTAGAGACCCTGAACACCCTGTAGGCCCTTCCCTAAAATACAAAAAAAAAAAAATAATGATAATTAAAATTAAAAAAATAAAAGGACAAGAGATACCAAAAAGGAAGACAAAAAATATAAGGATTTTGGTTCAGGATCTTGGTAAAGACAATGAAGGGCTGAATTTCAACATCCAAATACATGTACAAAAACACATTCTATAGCATTTTTTAAAAAACAAGCCTAACCATATTTTTTCATATTTTAACAGAAAATTTCCCATGTAACAGAATTACTAAAGACATAATAATAAACTTTATTAGTCTACACAAAATCAATATTAGTCTAAAATCAATATTTTTAATACATCCTCAGTTTGCAGAAGTACCTATTTGAAATGATTCTTTTACACAGTTTTTACATACCTTTCAGGTACAGTGGTCTTCCTACAACATGAATAGACAGTTAAACCTCACAGACCATATACCTTGAGTAAAAAAATACTTCCAATGCCACAGTAACAGAGCATTTGCCAGGCATGGCGGCGCATGCCTGTAATACCAGCACTTGGGAGGCCAAGGCACAGGATTGTTGTAAATTCAAGACCAACCGAGCTACAAAACGAGCTCAAGGCCAGCTTAAGCTGCATAAGGAGACCCTGTCTCAAAAAGAGAAAAAAAGAACATTTCTACTTGTTAATTTCACAATGAAACAGAGTGGGATATACCTTCAGGGTCCCTCCTTTCACCATGACTTTCTGCCTGGCCGGTTGGACTCCAGTCAGTGCGAACAGCTGAGCCTTGAACACCATTGGAGGTTCATCAGTATTCAACTCTACAGCTTCAAACTTCTCCTTTCCCCATTTTACAGTAACTGCAAACCAAATCAGAGTGTTTTGGAGTTTTTGTTTTTTTTTTTCATTTATAAAATAAGGCTTCAGACTTAGAAAAACCTTAGGGATCATCTATCAGACTAATTCTCCCCCCGAGCCCCCACCCATACTGGAGGAGACTAAATCCAAGTCTGCACACTAGAGGCAAGTGACTCACTACTGAGTGACATTCCCAGCCTTTTATATTTATTTTGAGAGGGTCTCACTAAGCTAAACTGCTGGAATTACATGTACATGCATCATCAGGCCAGGATTTAGGTGGTTCTCAAAAATCAACACTTGCCCTTCATGTCTATATCTTTTAATACCAATAATATTTACTTAAGAATGACATGCAGCTGACGGCAGTGATGCATGCCTATAATCCCAGCACTCAGGTGGCTGAGGCAGGAGGATCACCATGAGTTTGAGGCCAGCCTAGATTACATAGTATGTTCAAGACTAGCCTGAACTATACAGTGATGAGATTCCCCTCTCAAAAAAAAAAGACAGTCCTGAATAAAATTTTGATGGCTATAATTCAATTTTTCATTATATAAACAGACTTAAGAGAAACTGATTCACTAAATATCACAAAACTCATTAGTAACTACCAAGTCTTCTAATCATATTCCAACAATCTCTACAAACTTAACTGAATCTCTATTCACACTGAATTATTTTCCAGAATAAAGTTCATGACCTTCATGATGTTTAATTAAAGAAGCACTCAAGAGAGTAAAGGGGAAAAGCTTAGTTTACAAATAGGATTAAAAAAAAAAAATATATATATATATATATATCTGAAGAAAAAGGACAGCGAGGGGGCCGGCAAGATAGCTCAGTGGAATAGTTGGCAAGTGCAAGGTCCTGAGTTCAGAAGAAGAAGAAGAACAGTGAGGACATGTTAAGGAATACAAACTCTGAATAAGATAAAGGTGTGGGTATTCAAGTATTATTTTACTATCCTTTCCAAGAAAAGCAGAAAATTGACTTTGGAACATTAAAGTACTACTATCAATTCTTACTTGCGTTAACACTAAGTATTAAAAAGATTGTTGGGGAGATAGCTCAGTAGAATAAGCACTTGCCTGGCAAGTGCAAGGTCCTGAGTTCAATCTCCAGTACCACAAAAAAAAAAGATCAATTAAATGCTGGTATCTTATACACTGAGTAACTGATTTGAAGATAACAATATACAATGTGTTGGCCACTGTTACCCTATCATATTGTTTTGAAATTGTAGAGGTTTTTGTTTTTTGCAGTTTTTGTTTCTTCTCTTTAAAATAAAAAAATTTAAATAAAAAAAAGATAAAGGTGTGGGAGAAATAAAAGGTGTTATTCCTGAGAAATAGGTGCTCAAATATTAAGAAGAATCTAAAGATAAAACAAAATCATTAAAAATACAGAAATCGTCCAGGAATGATGGCAAGCACCTGTAATCTCAGCACTTGGAAGGCTGAGGCAGTAGGATCACTGGAGTTTGAGACCAGCGTGGGCTACACAGTGAGTTCAAGGCCAGCTTTAACTGCAGAGTGAGACCCTATTTCAAACAAAAAACTGAAATCCCACTTCGCAGCCCTTAGGACAACAATCAGGTATTCATCTGGTCATGTTCACAGTACCACTTAAGAAAAACAAGAATAACACCCTCTGGACTACTGTTCAGCCTTAAAAAGGAAATTCTTACAAACGCCACAACACCACTGAATTGGATACATTATGCTGAGGAAAATAAGCAAGTCACAAAAAGACAAATGCGGTAAGATTCAACATATAACAAGGTACCTAAAATAGTCAAATTCTTAGACAAAAAGCTAGTGTTGTTGTCAACAGGCCAAGATAAACAAAAACAGAATTTTGTTTTTAATTTTGTAGGACAAGATCTCACTATACTGTCCAAACTGGTCTTGAACCTGTTTTGCAGCCCAGGCTCAGCTTGAGGTTATGGGATTTTAGTTGTGTGCCGCAAAGCACTGCTGGGAGTTCTGTTCAGTGGGTACACAGTTTAAGTTTGAAAACAAAAAATTTCCAGAGACAGATGGTAATGATGGTTGTTTCAAATATGAATATAAATATAAATATACATGGTGGCAAGTGTTTATAACACAAGCATTCTGGGACACTGAGGCAGGAGGTCTTCATATTCAAGCTCAGCTTGGACATCTTAGCAATACCCTCTTTAAAAATAAAAAAAATAAAATAAATAAAAAGGGCTGGGGATATGAAGGCTCTGAGTTCAATCCTCCGTATTGCAAGAAAAAAATAAACACAATTATGTACCAGTTAACACTTAAAATTGGTTTAAATAAGATGTGTACTGCACACTTGCAGACTCGGCTATACCTTATTCAAAATGGCACCTAAAATGTGAGTGGTGGCTCTATTAGACAGTCAAGCCATTTTGAGTAAGTCTGAGACACAGTAAGGTCTATAAAGTAAGTAAAAAATGTGATTTCTGACCAACACCACGGGGGGTCGTCAAGCAAGCGATCCCTGTAAAATGTCAAACAGTAACGACATCCGTGGATATGTGCATCCATCTACCTCTCAAAGCAAGCACGCCACTTCTGACAAATTCAACACAACAGATGAATGAAAACGGAAAAGCAAAAACAGGTCTGCAAGCTGTCTCGGCTTAGAACTAAAACTGTTACAAGAGGGAAAGCCTATGCGGGATGAAGGCTCACCTCACATCCCGGGTCCCTCCATCCTTATCCTCTTCCCCTGCTCCCGTCCACGGCTACCTCCAGGAAGCCCACAGTAGCCGTTCCACCTCCACCCTGGTCCGGCGCCCTGGACACACCCTCACCTCTCCCAGCACACTAGGATCGCGACAGAAACTATTCTGCAGAGTCACGACTCCGAAAGGCTCCCCACTTCCGCCCCCACCCCACCCGCCCGCCAGCCCCCAGGCGAGCGCTACCGCACGTGGCCATCCCGTGCCCGGCTCGGCCCGCTGCCGCGCACTTTTCCCCGGGCCTCCCGGGCCGCCGCCGACTCTGCAGCCCAGGCCCGCGCGGAGGCCTCGGGTGGCCCGCGAGCGCGGCGCGAGGCGAGGCCGGAGCTCACCCGAGTACAGCGGCATGGTGGGGAGCGAGGGGGGCAGGGGCGCTGGAGGGCTGGGCCTGGCGAGGTCAGCGGAGGGAAAGGGACCAGAAAATGCTCGTGGAGGTGGCCAAGGTGGACGCGCTACTGGGGCGGCGGACTAGATGCGACGAAGCTCATTCAAACCGGCCACTAGCGATGACGCAGCAGCGCGCACTCCTCCCCCGAGCGACCGCAGGGCGGAGGCGGGGCGCGAGGGAAGGGGAGGGGCGTACGGGGAGGGGCGGGACCTCAGGCAGAGGCGGAGCTTGGCCGAGAGTCGGCGAAACCGACAGGCAGCATGGGAGGGGAGGGCAGAGCGAGGCGGCGGGGGGCGGGGGGGCAAGGGAATGGGTGTGGCCTCCGTCGCCCAGCAGGTGCGCGCTTGCGCACTGCACGCTCACCGCCTCGCTCCTCGGGACGGCTTTGCCTCTCCCCGACCACTGATGTATATAGCCAATAATACCGCCTGCTCTCTTTTTAGAAAATGATTTATCTATCTCTTTTTCAAAAAAGACGGATCAGGGCTGGTGAGATGGCTCAGTGGTCTAAAGCACCTACTTAGAACAAGTTTAGCAAAGCACAGGGACCGCGGTTCAATCCCCCAGCACCATATGCCAGCCAGCCCCGCCCCCTGGTGGGCTGAGCTGGCCACACACACACAAATAAATAAATAAATAAAAATTTTAAAAAAAGAAGTCCTAAAAAAAATCAGCATCATTAAAAAAAAAAAAAAGACGGATCAGTGCAACCGAGGACTTTATTTTTGTTAATGAATCCACTGGAAGAGCTGGAAGTTGGGAGGCCTTGCTGTGTGTAAGGAAATGTACAGACAGATAAATGTTTCTGTTTTTTGCCTTAGTGAGGATTAAACCTGGAATCTCACACATGTTAAGCAAGTGTTCCATCACTTAGTTGCTTCCTTTTTTTTTTTTTTTTTTTTTTTGAGACAGGTTCTCACTAAATTTCCAGGTAAGCCTCAAAAATCATAGTCCTCCTTCCTCAGCCTCTCAAGTAGGTGTGATTACAGACAGCTGCCCCCGCGACAAGCTTCTAAAATGTTTATCGAGGAAACTGTAATGTACTGAGCATTGGGATTGTAAGTATATAAAATTAATGACCGTACAATCGGCTGTCTTGAATCTCAGGTGTTACTAGCTGGCTGGGTGAGCAATTCACCTCACTTTCTCTGTAAAACGGAGAAAAGTGTGCTTCTGATAGGATTGTTAGGGGAGTTATACAGTTACGCAAAGATGCTCAGCAGGTGCATTGCACATGACATGCAATAGACAATACCAAGTGATGCAGAGTGAAAACTTGAAAGGGATTGTGTAGGGTGTGATTTAAAGTAAGCTGTAGGTAGCTTTATTTTCTGCATGTTTTCATAAAATGTCTTTTAAAAATATATTGCATCAGGCCAGAGAGATAGCTCAGCAGCATACGTGCCTCTCTGGAAGCACAGGGTCCTGAGTTCGATCCCCACATTGGTCATATGTGAAAAGCATTGCTGTCCTTAGAAGCTATTGGAAGCCTTAAGCATCTTGATGCAACTCGCCCACTGATCATCAGGACTCCGAGCCGCTCCCTGCCTCCTCTTGTTCTCGTGTGTTCTTGCTTTAATGGTGAATAAACAGGAGCCACAGACACCTGTTAGGTTACCATGAGGGCCAGAGTCCACTGGGTACCTGGTATTATTGGATGCTGTGAGAACTGAGAGATGTGAAACCAGCAGTCTTGGAGCTCACTCATCCTGTACCTGACCAAGGAATCTTTTTTTTTTTTGTATTTTTTATTTTTTAGGAGTCTACAGGGTGTTCAAGGTCTCACTAGGAGATCAGATCCATAGTAATCTGCCTGCTTACAGCCTCCCAAGAGCTGTCATTACAGGTGCGCCACCAAGCCCAGTCTCAATTGCCTTCTCAGTGAGCCCCGAAGGCAGGACCAGCACAGCAAGGGCAGGCCCAGGGATCGCAGGCCCAGGGATCGAACCCCCAGCACCTGCACCTGCTCGAGGGCACTTTAATCCACTGAGCTGTTTGGCCGGCCCTGACCCAGGAATCTTCTATGTCAAGTTCCTTTTCAGCATCCCCCATGCCCTTGGTACTACTAACTTCTCCCAGCCTTTCTGGGGCTCTGCTGAGCCAAGTTTAAAATGCAAGGAAGTAGAAGGAAGATGTGGAACCTACTAGCAACCGAAGGAAGAATAATAGGCAATGTGCGAAGCTGCCCTTCATCCCTGTCAGAGGGCATCGTAGAAGCTGGCCCGTGTGCCATACCTGGCTAAGCTGGGACCTGTGGGAGCTTAATAGATAATCTTCACTTTAAATAATGAATGTCGGTGTAGTGACTCATGCCTGCAATCTTAGCACTCTGGAGGCTGAGGCAGGAGGATTGCTTTGCGTTGGATGCCAGTCTAAACTACATAGTGAAAACCTGTCTCAAAAAGACAAAAAAAAAAAAAGAAAGAAAGAAAGGAAAAGAAAGAAAGTTATTGTAAGATACTAGCTTTCAAGTTTATGAATAAGACAATCTTCTAAATATAACAAAATGTCAGAAAGGTTTTTATTGGCTGTGATCTATTACTTAGAGTAACCCCCTCATCTGGCCAACAAATCCTGTCCAACTTCCACTGCAGTAGTTTCCATTTATTGCTAATGCTTTCAGATAAACTTAAACCCCGCTGTTACAATGACTCTTCTGATCTAGTAGGATTACATTGTTACCTGTTTTATGTAGCAAGTATATAGTGAGCTCAAGATGGTCAATAAAAGAGCTGTAGGTACAAAGTGAGGCAAAAGTAAGACAGATGAATAGGAACTTCAAGACATCAATACCACGGCTCTCTGAACTGGACCATTTGGGTGGAAGTTACAGGATCCAGTGAATTGGCTGGTGCAGTCGATACTGGTGCAGCTAAGAGAATCAATAGCAGATCCAGGAATTCAGGCCCAGAAAATGGATAGGGAGCAGAAGAGAGGAGCAACAGGAACAAAGGCAAGGGCCCTCCTTCTCTCACTTCAAGGAGCAGTCCCTTAGCCTGCGTCTGCCTCGCCCAAGCAAGTGTCTCCTTTGAACAGATAAGTGGCCAGTGTGCCTTTCATCTGTTAGCCAGTGATAGGCGATAGAATATTTGTCCTGCTGCCACCCAGACACACTGAGGGGTAGGGCGTAGACTGCCCCAAATGGGACAGAAATTTATTTATAGCCAGGTGCAGGGCACCCACCTGTTACCCAGTGTTGTTCTGCGGAGCCTGACACAGGAGGATTGTCAGTTTGAAGGAACCTGGCCTACATAAGCAAATTTTAAGCCAGCCTGGGTTACACGGTGAAAAAGCCTACCAAAGAAAACAAGCCAAAGGAACAACCAAAAGCCATATATTAATTTCTCATGGCTGTCGTAACCAATTAGCACAAGCTTAGTGGCTATAAACAGCACAGATGTATTATTCTACAGTTCTGACGGTCAAAAGTCCTCAAATAGCCTTAACCTTCAAGTATGGGTGAGACTGTGTCCCTTTTAAGGCTCCAGAAGAGAGTCCATTCCTCACCTTTTCCAGATGCCAGAGGTCCCCAGCACTGGGCTGTATCGCCACAACCACATCGCTCCAAGTTGGCAGCTCTTCTACACCAAGTGTTTCTTCCTTCTTGTTAAGTTCCCTGTGGTTGCATCGGCCCAACCTGGGTAACCCACGCTACCCTCCTCATTCTCAAATCCTTAACCACACCAGCACATTCCTTGTGGAAGGTAACAAATTCACAGGTTCCAGAGATTTGAACACGTATGTATTTATAGAAGTATTAATAAAAGCTGCCACAAATTTAAAAAATTAAAATATTGACTATACTTCCGTATAGCATCTATTATTTTTAATATCTATGCTTTCCTTTTGTTAAAGTGTAATATTGGCCGAGTGTGGTGGTGCATGCCTATAATACCAGCACTCAGGAGGCTGAAGCAGGAGAATTGCTGTTTGAGACCAGGCTGGGCTACAAAGTGAACTCAAGGCCAGCCTAAACTGCATAGCAAGACCCTGTTCTCAGAAAGACAAAAAAATTAAAAATAAAAGAGTATAATATTGGAGGAAAAAGTCCCCAGCCTTACTTTAGGATTCCCCTGTGTTTTTAGATACATAACAGAATAGTATCTTGTGCGCAAAAGGTGCTCAATACAGTGGGCTGGTGACACACACCTGTATACCCAACAGTCAGGGAGGCTGAGACAGGACAATTACAAGTTCAAACTCAGCCTGGGCACTTCACAAACTGAATGAGACCCCGTCCTAAAATAGGACTGGGACCCTAGCTCTAGATTAACAGATGATCCAAATTATGTGAAGTGAATGTATACAATTGTAATCAAAAAAGCCAGGTTGAATTGCTTGAGGAAGATACAACTTTATGAAGCAGTATAGGAGAGCAAGGACAAGACTATTCACAGACCAGAATTCTTTCCCTAAAGCTTCTCTGCTTGCTACCAAAGTGCTGCTCAACGTGGAGCATAATGTGAATCACCAGGGATTTGTTAAGATTCAGGTTCTGATTCCATAGATCTTGCGTAAGATTTAAGATACTAGCAAGCTCTCAGACAATGCTGGTACTGAAAATGACACTTTGGAGTAGCAGACTATCAAGGCGCTCTTTTTCTGCACAGTAGAAGATAGGTTGTCGGGGCACCCGGGTTGCAACACGTCTGAAGAAAAAAATAAAAGGGCAAAGAAGAGAAAGGGAAAGAGTATAAGACAGCAGTTTCCTTTCAGCTTCCAAACACATTTCGTTGGTGAAAACGCTCGCATGGCCAGGCCTAGCTGCGTGGAGGCCCGGGAGGGTGACTCTCTAACAGGAGCTAGCATGGATACTTTAGGCCTGCTCTGGAAAAAGGGGAGAGTGGATTTTGGTGGAAAACCGAGTTTCTCCCATGCAAATGGTTTCTTTTGTAGGTAAGCAAGTAATTTTCAGATACATGTTTTCCTAAAACAAATTATAAATTTCTTGAATGGTTTAGTTTCCTTAATTGTAAAATAAAAATAATATTCACCAGGATTATGAAATTGAAAAGCTAGCTGAGTGAGTGCATGTTATGTCAAGAATAATAAGCCAGATGAACTTAATCCCTGGTACCACACAACAAAATAATAACCCAGAACAGAATGCAGATTCATTTTTATATT